CAGTCATAGGCTCCTCCAATACCCATCCTTTCACCAGTGTACAGGGAAATTACTTTTAAAATAGAACTCCAAAATAAAAAAAATAAAGCAAAAAATTTTATCAATTTGATTACATCAAGATTTGTAATTTCTGTGCAAATAATGCTATTGTAGGCAATGTAGACAGAGAATATTCCCAAGGTCTGGATCTGAGAAAGGACTGATAGCTAGAATCTATAATAAATTCTATCAAATCACCAAGGAAAGTTACGAAGAATCTTTACAGAAATAAAACAACCAACTATACAAGCAAAATTACAGAAGAAGCACTTAATACACATTTGAAGAGATGATTTTATATATATATTAGCAAACAGAAATGAAAACTAAAACAAAATATTATCTTGATAACTGTTAGATTGGCAAAAATCAGAAGGCTGGAAAATGACAAGTGTTACTATGTAGGGATACAGGAATCCTCAAAAGCTGATGCTAAAAGTGTATAAAAGTGTTATAGTGGGGCTGGAGCGATAGCACAGCGGGTAGGGTGTTTGCCTTGCACGCGGCCGACTCGGGTTCGATTTCCAGCATCCCATATGGTCCCCCAAGCACCACCAGGAGTAATTCCTGAGTGCAGAGCCAGGAGTAACCCCTGTGCAATGCAGGGTGTGACCCCAAAAGCAAAACAACAAAAGTGTTATCGCTATCCCAAAGAAGCACCTAGGGGTATCAGAGATTTCATTTTATTTATTTTTGTTTTGGGGGCCATACCCAGTGGTGCTCAGGGCTTACTCCTAACTCTCCACTCAGGAATCACTCCTGGTGATGCATATATTTCTGGAGATAGAACCTGGGTCAACTGTATGCAAAGGAAATGCTTACCTGCTATACTGTACTATTGCTACAGCTCTGGTATCAGTGTTTTTAGTCAAACTAAGTATACACATATGTTTTAGTCAAACTAAGCATTTGTTCCTGGGTGTATATTCCAAAAGAAATCACCATACAGGCCCATACTAGTACAAACAAAAGAATGTTGCAGTATTATTTGTGTTATCTGGGAGCTAGAGACAATTCTGCTGTAGGAGAGTATTAAGGGAAAATGTGAAGACACACTGTGACCACTATAATAGAAGCAATGAATTAGATGTATAACACAATGATAGAACTTAACACAAGGCTAAAAGAAAAAAGAAACAAAATGAGTTATCACTGTATACTTCATAATGGGACAATCTGATTATTATATGACTTCTCATATTGAGGTGATAAATTATAACCTTATGTACTGATTTTACTGAAAATAACCTGAATCTAATCATGTGGAAAGAGCAGATGAATACAGAATCTGGGATATCCTATAAGCAAGTAGCCCAGGCTTTTAAAAAAAATGTAAGTGTAATTTATTTATTTTTTCTTTTTTGGGTCACACCCGGTGATGCTCAGGGGTTACTCCTGGCTCTGCACTCAGGAATTACTCCTGGTGGTTCTTGGTGGGACTCTATGAGATGTTCAACCCTATGGATTGAACCCGGGTCGGCCGCATGCAAGGCAAATGCCCTCCCCTCTGTGCTATCACTCCAGCCACTGTAAATGTAATTTAAAGTGCCTAAACCGTATAGGACAACTGTTCTAGGTTAAAATGACTTACCAAACAAATGTATTGCAATCAAAAATGAGTGTATCTAAAAATATTTTGTGCACAGTTGGAAACTTTGAATATAAAGGATGTTTGGTGCTATTACTATAAATCAATAGATTTTCTTAGACGTAATAAAAATTTTGAAGAATATCCTTAATAGATGTTGTGAAGTATTCGGAGGTGAAGTGGTATCCTGCTTGACAGTTTTTTTTTTTTGGTCTGTGGGTCATACCTGGCTATTCCCAGGGTTTATTCCTGGCTCTGTGCTCAGAGATCACTCCTGGTGAGCTCGGGGGACCATATAGGGTGCTGGGGATCAAACCCAGGTTGTCTGCATGCATCCACTGTACATGTCTCCAGTTCCTGCATGCACCTGCTGTAGAATCTCTTCAGCTGCTGCTTGCAACTTTCAAATATTTCATCAAGAAATCAATTATATACTGGACTGAAGAGATAACATAGCAGGTAGGCTGTGTGCAAGGTTAGATCCCCGAGCCCCAGCAGGAAAGATTCCTGAGCACAGAGGATACAAAACAATATATATATATATATACATCTATATATACATATATATATTTTGCCAAAACATGAAAAAGATGCACAAAACACCTTGGAATAGTTGCTTACTGAAGGAAAGTGAGAGTGGAATGTAGAAATAAAAGCAGATTTATTTATTATTTTTGGTTTTGGTTCCACAGTCAGTGATGCTCAGGAGACCATACAGTACCAAGGATTTAATCTGGGCCTCTTACAAGCACAATATGCACTCAGTATGTTGCTGGCCAAAAGCAAACTTAAAACAACAACAAAAAAATGTTTCCCTAAAGTAATACACAAAGACTGAATACGGGGAAGACAGGAAAAAAACAGTGAAGAAAAATAAAATCACAGATCACCCTATTTATTGACAGTAGTTCTCAAAATGTGGTACCTGGACTTCGTCATCAATTGGGAACTTGTTAAAAATTCTAATTCCTGACTTTACATCAAACTTAGTAAAACAGCTTCAGGTGTGGAGTCTAACAATCAATATTTTTGTTGTTTGTTTTTCTCAGGGCTTACTCCTGGCTCCCTGTGACAGTGTTCCAGTGGTTGGTGGTGGTGGTGGTGGTGGTGTACATGTTGTACCAGGGTTCAAACATGGGTTGAGCCATTTGTGAGGAAGTATCTAACCTGCTATACTATCTCTCCATCCCCAACAACAGTACTTTAAGAAACTCTTCCAGTGACTCTGATGCTCTTCAAAGTTTTAGGGCCACTGATATAGATTGGACCACCTTTAATTTTTTGGTAGCTCTGTAGCCTTTCCTAAAAAAATATTTCAGGCATACGAATATGTTACAAGTACTAAAATAACACACCCACATATCTAGCACCCAGATAAAAATAACAAACAGTTGAAGTTCCACATACATCTGCCTGTTTCTCTGTTTTCCCTAGAGTTCTCCCTTGGACACATATCTCACTTGTTTGTCTTGATGTTTCTTTCCTTGCTTATTTCCACTCTAGAGAGGTCTGTATTCTCTCAATTATGCACTTCTCCATCTCTCCCCCCTTACATCTTTCTAAGTAAGTCTCAATAAACCTATCTTTCTTTACCAAAAAATTATACACCAGATAATGTATATACAACATATAGTGCATTAATTTGAAGATTAAAAAGTCTAGATGTTTTCATACTTCATCTACAACTTAAATTTTATCTCAGTAATATAATTTTGAAATTTATCTCAGCTGTGATCAAGTCTGATAAATTTTTCCCTGTCATGTAGTGTTCTGTTGAATGACTGCACCAGTATTTATTGATTTTCTTGTTGCAACATTATTGCATGTGCCTCCTTCCTTGTGCATGTGTATGCCTTTATGACTTAAGAGAGATTTATCTTTCTCCTTTCCTATCTATCTCTAGGTGAAATTGCTGTGTCCCAGGGCTATAGACTATTCTGAGTATTTTTCAATTTCTTTCCAAAGTAGTGATACTAACTTTCATTCCAATCAAAGTTTTCATTAAATTATTACCCCCATATTTGTGCACTTGGGACTGACTTTGTTACAAAAAAGTTCTTTCTGTGCATATGCAGCAGATATCCTACAGAAAATGTCCTTCCATAGTCATAGGTCACAAATATATACAAGTTTATTATTTTCTTTTCCTGTTGGCTGCATGCAAAAGGCAAACACCTTACTCACTGTAATATCTCTGCCCCCCCCCCCCATTTGGTTCCTATCTCAGACACCCATTATGGTCCCCTGAGCTGGCCAGGAATGACTCCTGAGGGACTGTAGACCGTAAGCCCTAAGCATAACTGAGTGTGGCCCAAATACTAAATAAATAAATAAATAAATAAATAAAGGTGCTTATCAACTGTATTATCTCTCTTGCCCCAATTTGTGTGTGCGTGGTATTTTTTTTTTTTGCTACACCCTGTGGTGTTGGGGAAACCAAGTCTAGGTCCTGCATTCAAACCACGAGCTGGATCCAGCTCTTTATGCTATCTAAAGGGTCCAATCATTAAAACTATTTCAATTGATTTAAGTGATTTACAATACTGATATGGTGGTTTCCCAAGCACATAATTCTAACACCACACCCACTATCAGTGTACCCACCTTCCTCCCATGGGGATCCTAGCTCTTTTGAGATGGTTTCTAAAGAAACCCTTAACTAGCTCGCTGCGACTAAATGCGGTAACTTTCCCTCCGTTATGCAGATATAACTCAGGGGATTGTGGGTAGTAGGGTGGAGGAGGGGAAGAGAGCAAATGGGAGAGGCTTACAACATTTAGACTCCTGGGCCTAGTTGTGAGTCTGAGCTTCTGCAGAAAGAGCTGGAATTTGGCTGCCTTAGAGTTTGCTTCTAAGCTCTAGCTTTACAAGCCAGGAAGTCTGTTAGACACAGCTAACAAAGTCAGTTCAGGTGGGGAGTACTGGGAAAAACATGTGACCCCGGCGGCCATTTTCTCATACCGTGCCCGTCGCCATCTTCCCTGCAGACAAAGGCACCGACCCCCGCCCACGAACACATTTGTCTGGTGCGGTCCTGGTGACCGCTAAGATTCGAAAACGCACATATTTAGTACCAGGTTGAAACCTGCAGACATGATACTGGTTTACAAATAGGCTTAACGGTTACAAGACTGATCTTGGCTCCGGCACTAGCACCTCCCTCGGATATTACCTCACTCGGCAGCCTGAAGGCGGGGCTAGAGCAGCAGTCACGAAGAGACCGGCGGGTCAAAACCGTCAATCAGAAGCCCCGCCTCCTCGGGGGAGGCGCTGACGGCGGAGCCGTTTGCCAAGAGGCTAGAATCCGGAAATTGAAACTTAACAGCGCCGGCGCAGCCCCTGAGTGTGTTGTCTAGCTGTCCTCCTCACCTCTCAGATCCTCGCCGGAAGTGGAGGTAAGAAACAGCTCTTCTCTTTTTTCGTGGTGAGCGCTCAGCTAGCTGGCAGTGCTATAGGATAGTGAGGTGAAACCCTGGAACGGAGAGGAAAAGAGCCAGCTCCATTTCAGGGCAGAAGAGCCCGGGATAGCTCTGCACGTGGAGATGCGCCCAGATGTCCTCTTGCGAGGTGAAGGGACATGACCCCATCACATTCAGACTGATGTAGACCCCCGGACACACACTGTAGAGATATAGACTAGCTGTGGGAAAAGTGTCAGTCGTCTTCCTTCCATCAGGGATTCCATTTGGTGCTCTCACCAAACCTGTGATGACTTGCATCTCATGCATATAGTCATTTCCCTTCCCACATGGACTGAGCAGTGCCAGATCTTTATTCGCGGTGAAGAACACTGAGTTCCCTTCAGAACACTGAAGGGCCATTTCCCTTCAGACAGAGGCTTTGATGTATTCCCTGACACCTGTCAACCTTTTCCTCTCCTTTCTCCAAATATAGAGGACTTCAGACACTAAAAAGTATTGGTTAAGGGGTTAATCTTAAAAATATTTTAGACAAATCTTTGCTTTGTCCCCATTAACTGACATAAGCCCCACCCTGCAGAGACAGTCCAGTACCCTTCCCCAAAGTGGTTGGAGACACGAATATCAACCCATGGAGAACCAGACAGATATTTTGCCCCTCTTCCGCTAGAATGAATCCTTATTGTGAAAGTACAGCCATGATTCCATTTCTGTAGAAGGATGGGTTTACTGAATTTGTCAAGCCCTGGCCGAATGGCTAGCAGCCAAAAAGGGGCGATACCTAAGAGACTTGCATCTGCCCCTCAAGGCATCCGCAAGGTAGAGGGACACAGACTTGTTCTTTTTTTTTTGGTGAAAAATTCTTTTTTTAAAAATTTTTTTTATTAGTCAATCACCGTGGGATACAGTTACAGACTTACAAACTTTCATTTGCTTGCATTTCAGTCATACAATGGTCAAGTACCCATCCCTCCAGCAGTGCCCATTTTCCACCACCAATGGTCCCAGCACCCCTCCCTGCACCCCCACCCCATCCCCATCACCTCACCCCACCTCTGTGGCAGGGCATTCCCTGTTGGTCTCTCTAGGTTTGTTCTTTTGTGATAGATACAGATCATCTTTTCCTCCTCCTTTAGTATAGAGATGCTGTGACATCACTAATCTTATCGTGGCATATGCATATTGGCTTCCCCCTTAACCAAGATAGAGGAACTCAGATCTCTTTCCACACTGAGTAACTACTCTTTCCCTCTTTGGGTAATGTGATGCTATCTTCCCTATGTAGATTCAGCCATACCAGGTTGAGGTACAGTATAGTCTTTTCTCTGTGGAATTAATCAATTTAATTTATCACTGTATTGCCTGACATCCTTGAAGGGAACCAGTGGTCCTGTTCTCTATTAGCTCACTGATGAATTTAACCCATATAAAAATAAACAGATTTTTTAAATCCCACCTCCTGTAGAAGGGGAATGGCCTATTTCAAGAAAAGTGCAAATCTCACTCAAGCACAGATGCATAATTCCCCCTTTGTTAGTGTGGGTTTAATGTCACCCTTTAGTGGACACAAGCATATATATCAGTTTCACTCTATAGCCTTCTCCAGGATAAGCAACCCAGGATCACCCTCTGTACAATTTTGAAATGTATAGATCCATTCTCTTCTTCATGCAACTACACATGGAAACAAAGATTTTTTTCCCTTCTCTCCAAGATTTTTGCAGTGACCTTAGTCCACAGACAGGTAAAAATCCCTGTTCTCAGGCTCTCTTTTCCTCATGTAGACTTCTAGAATCTGTATCCCCTGCCCTTTTCAAGGTATATGGAATTGCCTACTTAGAAGAGATACTGTTAACATTTTGTCTAGAACTATTGTCCTTGCTTCCTTACTCATTTTTCCTCCTCCCCTCAAAATATAGGGTTTAGTGCTAATCCCTTAGCTAAGTATATTAACCCTTTAGGGTGGGGTATAGAGTACCAGAGACCCCATATTCTACATTGAGGCACACAGACTCTATCAAGAACAAGAAGTTTAGACCTAATTTTCTTTTGGATAGTGTGATGCTGTCTTCTTTGGGTAGTACACTCAGCCATACCAGACTGAGTTCCAGTATAGTCCCTTCTCCTAGTTCTTTCAATTGTTAATGGCTTTTTTTACCATACTGTTTAATAATTTATACTGTCTTTAAGGAATTTACATAATTTTCTCCCTTCTTTGTTTAAATTAGTTCTTTCCCTATTCTGACAAGAAGAAAGCCTGAAGATTTGAACCTACGTGCTGTAAAACAGTTATGAGGAAACTTAAACACAGTGAGTTTATTATTTGTGTGGTGCAGGTGATTGAACCCAAGGCCTTGGCACTTGCACATGCAAGGCAGGTACTCTAACGCTGAGTCGCATAGTTGAGTATGCACGAGATTTCGCCTATACATGATATCACTGTGGGTTTTTAAATTTTTATTCTTGGGCCATACTTGGCAATACTCAGGGGTTACACCTCGCCCTGCACTCAGGAATCATTCCTGGCAGTGCCTAAGGGATCGTTTGGGATATCAGGGTTTGAACCCAATCTGGATCAGCCATGTACAGGTACAGACCCCTTACATGCATGAGATCATTCTCATCTTCCCCACTTCCATGTGAAGAATCTTCCCTTTAATTAGCATTTCCATTTAACAGATGAGGAAACTGATGAAAAGTGCTCTGATCTGAGGTATTAATCCCATGTTAGATTGCAAGCCCTAAAATATTGGCAAGCCCTAATATATAATATAAAATAATATTATAGCACCCTACCCACTGTACTCGAGGCCCACTGTACTATTGTGCCGGGCCCAAGCCCTAATATTCTTTTAAAACTTGTACCTTTATTTTTTTTTAATTTTTTTATTAGTGAAACACCATGAGGTACAGTTATAGACTTACAAATTTTTGTGCTTGGGTTTCAGTTATACAATGATCAAGTACCCATCCCTCCACCAGTGCCCATCCTCCACCACCACGGGTCCCAGCATCCCCCCCAACCCCCCCCCCCCCCCCGTCCCACCCTGCCTCTGTGGCAGGGTATTTCCCCTTGTTCTCTCTCTCTCTTCTTTTGGGAAACTTGTACCTTTAAATTGGTTGCCTAACATGAAAAACTGCTGATTGAGGAGTCTGAATTCAGTGGAGAGGGTGCTTGATTTGCATGTAGCTGACCTAGATTTGATCCTTGTCACCCCATAAGCCCCCTGAGCCCACCAGAAGTAATCCATGAGCACAACTGGGTGTGACTCATTTTTTTAAAAAAATGTGCTCATTATCACTCATTGGTTAGGAAAATATAAATCAAAACAACAGTGAGTTATCATCTCATGCATCCAAAAGTCTGGAAACAGCCAGTGTAGGAATTGTTGGTGAGAATATTGTTTATTTCAGCTTTTTGAAAATCTGTATGGAGACCTATACAAGAAAATAATAGTAGAACTATCATATGACCCAGCTATCTACTTCTTGGCATCTATCCCCCAAACACAAAAACATTCATTTGGAAGGATATATTCATACCTATATTCACTGCCACATGTTGTATAATAGCCGATATATGGAAACAACCCAAATGTCCATCTTTGGATGAATGAATCGAGATGATGTGGTATGTATACCCAAATATAATACTGCACAGCTCTGAATAAGAACAAAATCATGCAGTTTGCATCAACATGGATGGGACTAGCAATATCAAGTGAGTATAATCAGTCAGAAGGAAAGGGATAAATACAGAATGATCTCTATCATATCTGCATCATAAAGATACATGGCAAGGTAGTAACAAAGGTCCAAAGGCAACATAATGGGAGAATTGACCCACACAATGAGTTGGGGGGTTTCGGTAGTGAGGGCTATAATGGTCCAGAGTACAGTGCACAGAGTACAGTGGTTTATGGGTGTGCTGTTGAGACTATTGCATGAGAAACCATTGTTAATAGCATTATAAACTACAGAATCTCATAAAACAATTTAAAAAATAAAGGACCTCTCTGAACTGGTAGTTAAAACTTAGGAGCCTTGCATGCTACTGACCCAGCTTTGATCTGCGGCATCCCAATATGGTCCCCTGAGAATCACCGGGTTTTGTGACCCAAAAAGCCAAAAAATAAAAAGGGGCCAGAGAATTAGTACAGGGGTTAAGGTGCTTGCCTTTGCACATAGCTGGGCCTGGTTCAATCACTGAGCACTTTATGTGGTCCCTTAGCACCATATCTGTTGTGGCTTCATAATCCTCCAGTTCATCAAGAATCAATCTTTGATTATGTTAATACTAAAAACAATAGTCATTTTTCTCAAGTAACTCAAAAAATGAACAGAATTACTTACACTATGTGTGAGAAGTGTCCATACTAGTCGAATCTAAAATTATTGATAGTGATGAGAAAGACAGTTATCTGTTTAAATAAAGTAGAATATATGCATACTAAAGAATCCTGGCAATTAAAAAGTGAAGGTATAAAAAAAGTGAAGATATATTTTATGGAAAGACTATAGATGGAGAAACTGCTAGATGGAATTTAGAATTTATCATTTAATTAAATCCAGGATATGTTAAGTGAAAAAAGCAAGTTGCTTACTGGAGTAACACTTTATGCCAATACAAACATTTATGCCATGGTTGTATTGACATAAAGAAACTGAATGATGTACAGTAAACGTTAAAGTGGATTCTTGTGACAGTGAGTGCTACAGTGGATAGGGACAGGTGTGGGAAGGAGACCTTTCAAAATGCACCTTTTTAAATTTTGAAACTGTCTTTATTATCAATTATAAAAGACTCTTGTGCATTGATGTTAGTAAGAAAAATGGTGAACATTGAATGAAATAAAAACCTTAGGGGTTAGAGATTGAAAATTTTAAAGGGCAAGGGCTGGAGTGACAGTACAACGGGTAGGGTGTTTGCCTTGCACATGACTGACCTGGTTTCAATCCCCAGCATCCTGTATGGTCCCCCTGAGCACCGCCAGGCATAAGTACTGAGTGCAGAATCAGGAGTAACCCCTGAGAATCACTGAGTGTGATTCAAAAAGCAAAAAAAAAAAAAACCCTTTAGGGGCACAGCAAGTATTTTTGCTTACCTTGCATGTGGCTGACCTTGGTTTGATCCCTATCATTGTATATGGTCCTGTGAGTCCACCAGGAATGATTTCTGAGTGCAGAGCCAGGAGTAACCCCTTAGCACTGCTAACTGTGGACCCCAATTAAAGGAAAAACAACCCTCAAACAAAGATTTATATGTGCACACAAAACAGATTCTTTGGGAAATTGCAGGAAAATTGATGATCAGACTACTTTGGATGATGATTTCATTTGTAGATGGGGCATGTGCTTTGTTGTGTGGTGCAGTTACCGGCACACTCACCTAAAGATGTCTTAGACTTGAATTCTAAGGAGGACTAAATCTGGGAAGTTATTGAGGAGTCTTCTAGAGAGTGATAAAATACAGTTGTACATTTTTGAACGGTTATTAAAAAGAAGGATGTTTTATCACTTAAAAGATTTGTGTCAGTGATTGGTAGCATAGGCATGTAGTCAGTTGGAAATGACAGACTAGTGCAAGCTGAATGAGGAAGGGGAAGGGAATGGAGTGGGGGGTATCAGAGTGGAGGTTTCAGTGTTGTGGAAGTGTTTAGAATGTTGAACAAATGTACTTGAACATACTTGAAAGGGGATGTCAGAGACTGATTACTGAAATTCAAGCAGAGATGATAATTATAGGTCTAACCAAAGCAGTGGAGTGGAGTTTTGTGGAGGTGAATGTAGAAATGAAAAACAGTTGGAAACTGTTATTCATGTTAATGATGAGTGGAGTTGTAGTTAAGTAAAGCTATAAGGAGCCAAAGAGTAGCTCAAATGATTGGAGCACATGCCTTGGATGTGCAAGGGCCTGAGTTCTATCCTTGGAACTGTGTGCCCCTCACCCAACCACTGGGTTCCCAAGTATCTTCAGGTCTGAGAAACACCTCATCACTGTATCTAAACACTGAATTCCTGCATAGCTGGACCTAATATTGCTGGAACTGTACCGTGGGTCTCCATCTACTGCTGGATCTGTCTTCCTGATACCACAAAATTAATGTTTTAAGCCAAGTACTTTTTTTTTTAATGTTGTGTAATTTTGTGTAACTTTTTTTTAAAATTTTTTTTATTAGTGAAACACCATAAGGCACAGTTGTAGATTTACAATTTTTTGTGCTTGGGTTTGATTATAAGCCAAGTACTTTAATAAGTGGGGGAAAAGAGACTCATTGGTGACTGACATAGACATAAACTTTCTCAAAAACAGAAGAAAAAATTTTAATTTCCCCATTTGTTTTTTGGCTAGTATAATACAGTTAATAAATCTAGATAGATAGATAGATAGATCTACATCCATCTATCTATATACAAATATATACACACATTGATACATGTATTTGAGGGACCTTACACAGCTGTACCTCAGGGCTTACTCCTGGCTCTTTGGTCAGGGATCACTCCTGGCAGTGCTCAGTGGATAATAATGTAGTGCTGAGAATTAAATCCAGGAGGACTGCATGTAAGTCAAGTGCCTTAACCCCTATACTATTTATCTGGCCCCCTTCCCAGTTATTTTAATTGATACAATGTGATTTACAACGAATCACGACAAATCACGACCATCCTATTATTCGTCAATTGCCTCGAGCAGGCCCCAGTAACGTCTCCTTCATCCTAGCCCTGAGATTATATTCAAGGCTCTTTAGGAGAATGAAAGCCATCATTGTTACTGGTATTTGGCATATTGGGTACGCCACGGGGAGTTTGCCAGACTCTGCCATGTGGGCAGGCTACATTTGGTAGCCTGCCAATTTGTCCAAAGTAGGAATGAGATAATAAGATTTCATAATAAGATGTCGCGCGGCCGCGACTGGGTTTTATAGTCTCTGAGTCTTGGCCACTGATGGGATTACACGGCGCCAGGGGGCCAGTTGGTGGGTGTGACCCTCGCCTACTGGATTTCGGAGGATCTGGGTGGAGGATGCTCAGCTCCGATCCGAGTAGACTTGGAGATCTCAGCCCCGGGTCCCGCTTGCTTTTGTTCCTCTGCCGGTACCTTCATGTGTGCGGAGAGTGGTCTCAGCATGGTGGTGGCTGGTCCTGGAGGTCTTCGGCTGCCAGAGCCCTGGTCGGGGCGGGGAGGAAAGCTCAACCCGCTCCCCTCCAAGGGGCCCCGGCGAGGACAGGCAGGCGCGGGGGCAGGAGACTTCACTGTTCTCTTCCAGGAGCTGGTTTTTATAGTCTCTGAGTCTTGGCCGTTGATG